CGCAGATAGCGCAATGGCAAGCGACGAACCTTAATCCGTAACCGACAGGCAGACTGGCCCAGACATCTCCAGTCCGACTGTCAGGTTGACGGCGCGCATCATGATCAACCTGGCCAGACCTGACATCTATCAAGGCTGGCTGCTTGCCCGTCTGTTTGATCGCCCGCGCTCGCTTCACCAGGCTTCCTGGTCCATGGCGATGGTGGCGGCATGTGGGTTTCCAGCTGTGGGCCTGGCCCTACTAGGAGAGCACCACCAACGTACGAGTAAACAGCCGGTGGTGTGACGGAGTGTCTTGGGCATCAGAAAACCACTGTCAACATCATGTTGATTTTCCCCAGTGAAACAGGAGGGCCAACAGAGCTGTCGGTGCCCAATGGAGCTAATGAGACTGTGCGGCGCGAGACGTCCTGTATCGTGCCGCCCATGCAAGCGAACTGGCTCGCGGTCCTCCCTTGGCTTAATGGAAAGGGGCGCGTTCTGCTCACCCCCATCCCATTATCCACCACAAAGAAGCGTCTGCATCTCTGGCTGCGTCGCTTTGTCCCTGCCCGCCCAGTCTTTCTTTTTCTTTCCCTTTCTTTCTATTCTCCAACTTCTCCTTCGCCTCGCGCCATGTCCCTTTCCCTGCCGCATTGAGCATCCGCCACAGGCGCAATTGGCTTTCCAAGTGCCATTCAGTCAACCAGGTTGGATTCAGCCACACCACACATACGCCGACGCCTCTACGGCCCGCGTGACTCGTCAGTGTCTCTCTGCCTGCTGGAGGTGTCTATCCACAAACCCAACCAGAGTTGGAGTGTGTGAGTCACAGGCTGCTGACTGGTGGGGGTGGATTGGCTTGTGGCCCTTTCCATTCACACCACATCACGGATCGCTAGGCCCCGTTGGTGCTAGAGCCGACAAGCAGATAGGCTCTGGTACCCAGGTACACATCTACGCTTGACACAGCTGGAAGCGGGATTGGACACAGGGGCCGACAACAAGGATGCCCCAGCATTGGCCGCTGCCTTCCTGAATGGTCCCGAGGCCCTGCATACCAGAGTTAATACCCGTTTCCCTGGCAAAACCCACGGGAGATGGATCGTTACACGTCCTGCCGGAATCGATTGCGTCAGGCCATTGGCATTGCAGCAGCGACAGTACTTGCGAGCCCCGCTACCCTTGAGCAGGCGGTTCTGCTACCAAAGGCATTGCATAAACAATTGGGCTGGCAGCCCGCTCTCAGATCTGGTTCTGGAGCCTACAAAGGTACATGTATCTTCCACGTCATGTGCAATCCCTGGAAAGCCTCCGCCTCCGCCTCCACTCCCGCCGCTGCCGCCGTGCATCTAAGGACATCTAGGGTGTGGCTCCAGCGTACAGCGGTTGATGCACTCAAGTATCTGGGCCAAGGTACCAGAGGAGGGGGAATGGCTGCAGGGCGGTCCACTTTCCGAAGCAGCGAAGTCGCAAACTGATGGGTTTCGTTTCGCTTTGGCATCCCCATCTTCTGGCTGCTTACGACACGTTCATTGCACTGCCCATCCCATGGCCACCGCTGTAATCGCCCGCTACTGGTCCCTTGGTCTTGATGGAATTTGCGGTTCTATACTCCGATGCCCCTTTCGTGTCCGCTCTGTCCCTCGCGTTTTTTTTAACTCCGCCTTCGAACAATCGTAATCGACCCTGAGTAGATCACTGCCTAAAAATAAGAGTCCTGGTTTGCGATTGCCATTTCAATAAGCCGGCGTCGGAGTTAGGCTTCTCGATGGATGGGCACCAAAGATGCCATAGGGGTCCAAACCTCCGACGCAACTTGAGCACTCACTTCCTTCGCATGCGCGTCCACACTATATGATTGGCCGCCCGCATTCTAGTGGCGGCGCCTATGCAAGAGAACCAGAAAAGGCACAGAATAACCAACATGGTTTGTTCGGTTTTCTTCTCCCAACCCCTCCTCTGCTTCCACGGCTGGCATCGCGTCTGTAGTAAATGACAGGCTGAGAGGATAGTATGTAAACTGTGATGAGAAAGGGCCCCCCAAGCGCCACATCCCATAGTCAAATCAGCTCTCCTATAGTGTGGAAAGGCACACATGACACCCCCCAAATCCGCGGGACGAACACCATACCACACTGCCTACACCAACCTGCTTATCCTGTAACCCTTTCAGCCTCAACACACACACACCGTGGCTGCCTAGTAGGTACCTAGGCAATGTAGGGTACCTTGACTAGCCCCCTCCTCGTCGCCCTCTGGAGATCCAGTCGTTTGCTAATCATCCCGATTGCGATCGCGCATTCCCTTATCAGCTGAGGTTGGTTGGGTCCAAGTCGTGAACGTGGGATACGACATCGTGATGGTGCCAGATGATGCACTAAACAGTCACTTGACAAGCGTTCCAAGCCAAACGCCCCTCTCCTCCCAACTCGCCGCAAGACATGGCTGTTCTGTATCTGAGGTTATCAGGCTGTCACATGGATTTGGCGCCCAAGCTACGCTCCTCCGGTCTAATAATCGTCCTGATTGCATGCCACCTCGGCCATCCACCGACGATGGATGCTTGGCTGATTGGTGTGCGCGCCTGCTGGATCAATGCAGGCACCCCGTGCCTAGTCCCTAACGCACTAACTCACTTAACCCAGGCGGGTCGCTGGAGCCTGTAACGTTGGTGTAGCGTGCAGGCAGGCCTGCCCATGGCCTGTAGGTACATTGCCGACCGCCATGGATACCAACAAATGCACATAAATCGGCACAGATGGGCCATGGATGGATGTACTATCTTATCCCCCACATCGAGCACCCACTCTCTCTAGAAGCACCAATATCTACCTAACCCAGGATAAGCAGCATTTGGCATCAACCCCTCCTTGACTGTGCTGCCGCCATGGCGGTGCGTGAACGTGCCTCGACGCGCGCGCTGATGATCACCGAATTAACCCCTCCTTTCTCTTTCCTCACCACCGACACCGCCGGAAAGCAAGCAGGGACCTTTTGGGTTAAGACCTGCTTCCAATTGACCCAGATATGTAGCACTAGGCGCGGTTGCTCGCCTCCGCCCTGTTTGTTCCGTGCCAAAAGCAACCGGACCACAGACACCTTGCGCCAGGCCTATTGCGGCTCGTCCCTTTCCTTGATAGAGTTGGAAAGTAACTCAAAGCCTGTATTTTTAAATTTCATGGAGGCAAGCCTTTTCCCAACTGTTCCCTAGTCACGTAACTTCAAGGTGGCAAACTGGGACAATTCCTATCAAATAGAAAAGTGCTGCTCGCTCTAATATAGAAATGTATACATGTCAAATCGCCTACCATCTTGTTCCTCTTGCTTATCTGTCTTTTGGACTTATATATTCTCGGAGGCAGCGGATGGTTTAGTCAGACTGGGCCTGTAATGTCAGTCTTCGGCTTACCCTCCCTCCAGGCATTCGTGGGGTTTGCGTTGACTCTGACTGGGGAAATATAACTTCGTCAAGTACACAGTAATCCACAACCTTTCCCGCATTTACACTCTTTCTTCGCATAAAATGACACATATCATTTACTGTCAATGATATCAGGCAAGGCAGAGATCGGTAGAAGGGACCGGCGCCAAGTATACGGGATTAATAATACATCCATGAGCGCAGATTCATATATACAATCACTAGTCTCCATGACGGCACTGTACATGGAAGCCCTGCCAGCAAGGCTCTCGCAGTATTCTCGAAATCCGGGCTACCCGCCAGCGATTTCCCTAGAATCAACAGCCCGTCAGCTGATACCGCCAGTGTGCGGTGCGGTGCCATCCAGAAAAACCCCTCTGAGAATCACTCCTAGACCATCCATGTAGCCTCACACCCGTTCCCGTGTCGAACAAACGCCTTCCCTCTGCAGAGAGCGCCATAAACCATGGGCAGCAGTCCGATCTTGCTTTTCGGCTGGGTCCCGTAGGCAAGCCACATAGATCCGCCATGTCGTTCCCTTACCGCCTGTCCCGAACCCGCACCCAGGGAAGGGCGCATGACCCGACCCTAGTCTCCTGGGCGGAGGCAAGGCCCCCCGACCCAAATGGTACCCACGGTTGCAGCGCGGCCTGCGAAATGCATGACATCCGGGCATTGCACGAGCAGGTAGGATGGGCACATGGAAGGAGATCTAGCCTCCTTACTAGTTGGTGTGCGTTCTTGGTGCGGGTTTCTGCGGGCTCTGTGTTTTGTCGATCCGAAACCAGCATGAGACCTTGCTTCAGCCGTCACGCGGTGCGGTTTGGGCTATCCATCTGATTCGATTGTGGTTGCTTCGAATGATACCTTGTTTTCTTTTTTTAATCTAGGGTCCAGGTAGTGCGGCAAAAAATCAAGTACGGTGTCGTATTCGCGCGTGGGGGGGATGGTTCATAAATGAACATGGCCCTCATCTCATGATTCAGTGAGACATCGACCGGACAAACGGTTTGATACCCTCCATATTGTAGATACATCATGTGGCGTGTAGAACTCTTGCCTACTTTGGGGTTGGAGATAGGGGAACCTCGGCTAGCCCCAAAAAGACGACCCGAGCCCAGAGACAGTGAGAGAGTCCTCCTAATAATACCACTCGGTGACGAAATGGGGATTCCGGGCCAACCCGCTCGGTCACCATGCCACTTGACCTCCGTCCCTGGTGACCCTCCCTTCCAACAGATAGTTCCTTGTTTGCGGTTGAATGGCTTGGGACCACTCTCTGGCTTCGTGGGGGTGTATCCATGAAATGGGTGGCATAGGGTAGTCGGCTAAAGTATGAGTTGCAGGTGTTCAATATTCTATTCGGACTTGATACGAAATCAAGGTCAGGATCTAGTTCTTGGTAGGAGGTGGTAGCATGATGCCATAGCTCACAATTTGAGCTGAGGCAATCAAGTTCCATAGGAATAGTAGAAGCCAGCGGGCTGGACGCATGAAGCATCGTTGGCCGAGTAAACCGAAGAGTCGTTGTTGAAGCGAAGATAGTCGTAGCCATTCATGATATCCAAGAGTCTGCACATACCGGTTCCGTTGCCAATCAAGTGAAATCATACACCATGAGGCTTTCTCGCCCATCATGGCCCTCTTGAAGGACAATGACCATCTCGTCGTCAAAACCGACCTTGTTTTTCTTGAAATCAAGAGCGGGCATCTTGATCAGTGCGCTATCATCCTGCTCCTGTTGTCGTGGCCGTACTTCGACACTCCCCCCAATTCGGCCCTCGAGCTCCCATACTCGGATTTCGTCACCCCTGGCACTGACGCTCACTGCTTTGCCCCGGGTGGTGATTTCAGCATCGGATATACCAGAGGTATGTCCCCATAACCGAGTCCCGGGTGATATAGACAAGGAATGGGGTTTGGTTTTACACGTATGCAGGAGGAGTGTGTTGTCTGGTAGAGTGGCAAGCAGGTAGGGATGACTGTAACAGAGTCCAACCGGGCCATCGTTAACTTCATCTTCTCCCCAATTGTCTAATTGCCGAGCTGAGCCCGAAGACCTGATCGGAGAGGATGATGCAGAACCACGGGTGCTTGAAGGGGGAGTGTAGGCAAGACGAGAGTCGATAATGGTCGGAACGGGGTCGAACTCATTGGGGTGAATATCGAGCTCCTGAATCGCGATGCACCAGCCATTTATTGTGTCGAGGGTATAAACAATAGAAGCAATAGTTGAGGAGGTGTGTGAAGGTAGGGCTGTAACTTTCCTCATCGAGAGCGTAAGTGGTTGCCTCGTACTCTGGGACTGAAGGGACCGCAACAGAACTGGGATCCGAGGAGGCCCAGCAAATGTGCCGGTTTTCCTCTTCTTATCGTCTGCCGGGACATTATTCAAAGATAGGCCCTCAGTTTGAGGGGTTTCCTCTCGAGGCTGGCTAGAAGGTTGTTGCCCAGGGCTTGGCTGGGGCTGTATACTTGGATGATCAAATGTCCAAAGAGTGATGAAGCCGCTCTTTGAAGCAACAAGTACATACGGGTGGCAGTAAGCAACAGCCTCGAGTCCTCCATAGCCTTCAACATCGTGGCGGCAGAGCTCGACCAATTCGCCAGACTCCAAGTCCATACTCCACACCCCGAAGGTGCCATCCTCGAACCCAACCGCGACCCCCAGTTGGCCCTGGGAGAGCGGCTCATCATACACGGCCATGGACAAGGGCCGAACCTGTCGTTTCTGGTATGACTCCAGTTTGGCCTGGGCTATGGGAGCTCGCGTGCGCAAGTCCCATACCAACAACCCACAGGCAGAGTCGGCAGTGATCGTCAGTCCCTCGACGACCTTGACGACTGTTTTCCCAGGTGCAAAGCGCTCTTGTGGGTGGAAATGCAGCTCCTCAACATCACAGCGGCCGCGTGCCCAGTTGTGTAGGAGCTTATACGACTTCTTCCAATCCACAGACTCTCCGGGACTCTCTTCCGTTTTATCTTTGCGTCCTATCCTACCCCCTTTCATCCCGGTGATAGAAGATGCCCAGCCAGGGGCGACTTCATTCTTTGCGGAAGACCCTCGTCGAAAGCCGGGGATAAGGTGAGCCCGCGGGAGTATAAAGCGTCGGTAGTAATGAGCCCTCCACAGATGGCCATCGGTTGCGACGCGGTGGAACAAACGAGACACGGTCGAGAGCTCCAGCAGGGTGGTCTCGCTCAGGAACGAGAAGATCCGAGCGAGGAGCTCCGAGGGCAGCGTCGATATCGCATCGTAAGAGGGAGGGCGCGAGGCGACCGAAGATGCGAGGCGAGCTCGTTTGGGAGAGGGGAACCGAGGTGAGCGAGTTTCGCTGCGGTCGCCATCATCGCTGTCTCCGCGAGACAGGCGACGCTTGACCTGCATGCTCGTCCGTAACGCGCGCGTCGGAACGTGTGCTTGCACTGTGTTCGCTGTCGAGGGGAGCTGTGGCTTGTCGAACAATGAAGACGGGCAGTCTGAGGCTTATCCTAATAGGTCAAGGTGGCAACGGGAGGTCGATCACAGCCGGAAGGGTGGGCATCTCAATATATATCAATTAAATTAACAGCTATCTAGCTAGGTAGTCAAGCTAACAGAGAGGCGGAGATTTGGGTAGCGACGTATGGTAATTTATTTGTCTTGAACATGCATTTCCAGCTGCAATGTAGCGGGCGGTGAAGGGAGGGGTGATCACCACCTCAAGGAGCTTCGCTTGCATTTCCTGGAGATTGGGCTATCAAAAGCTCTGCGTGTTGGAGGAGATGACAGGGGCCCCTCAGTGCGCCACCACTGTAGGTCGCTGGCTAGTGGCACCTATTCGGTGCTAGATCCCCTCCATGCAATGCGTGTATGTCGTGAAATGAACTCGTCAATCTGATCTATGTCGCATCCCAATATATACATCAGAAGCAAAATTGGGTCCTGCCCGTTTTGAACCTACCTTACTCTTCCTTGCTAGGTAGGCATCTATCGACTGTAATTATGCATACACCTCGTCTCGGGTTCCGAAGTGATCTCGACTTGGTGCCTTTGATTTGACTATGACAGCTATGATAGGTATATGGGTAGGTAGTTTCGGCTCACGAGGATCACTCACCTCAACAGCAACAATATTACCTTACTAAATAGTCTAGGGCGTTCTTGTTACCCTGTATAACTATCAAGACAGTGTTTGAAGGGTAAAGGTATATATCTATATGCGTAGGTGGTAAAATATACCGCTTCCACTATCTAAAACCAATCATTACCATATCCATATGCATCGTCCCGCCTTTTGCCTAAAGCCCAGCTTTGGCATACAGATTGTCGTACAAGGCTCCTAACCAGCCACTTGTTGGGCCACCTCTCGCAACAACACCAAGGCCACCCACTGCCCACAATGCCGCGACCACGACAGCCGTCCCTTGAACACCGAGCCAGCGCCTTCTCCTTTGCCGCCTTGTCTTTCGGTCTACCACAACCGAGACGGTTCTATTTCTGGGCTTCAACCATCCCCTCGTTGAAGGCGCAAGCCCAAGCCATTTTGCAGTACCCCACACCATATGGCCTGCTCCAATACCGATCAGCCCTATGTATGCCAGCCAGGAAACAACGGGATGCTGGGCGAATCCGTGGGCGATGTAGGCGAGCCCGACGTTTGAGCTGTCTCCTTCAACTGCCAGCGGCAGGAGACGGTTCATTAACACGTGACCGGAGTAGAATATCGTGAATGCATATCCTGTAATCGAAATGTAGCTCATTTCGGGCCAGGGTGATGCCGTATGGCCATGTGACCCTTGACCTGCCCATAAACCTGCGCCGCCATATCGCCGCACATTTTGCGCCCGTCTTAACAATCGGAGGGCAACGCCAGATCCGACATGTGCAACGAACGGTAATATAACAAGTAGAGGCTCTGAAATGCTAGTCTGGTAGATTTCGCGGGTCATGAGGAGGTAGGTCTCGGAGGCGTCGACAGAACGGGTGGCAGCTGGGATCAGGGAAACGTTTGAGATGTGTAAGGTGGTGAACAACGACATGGCGTAACTCGAATACTTTTGGATGCGTGTCACTATATAATAGGGGTCAGTAACCTGGATTTATCCTCGGTAGACATGAAGAGGTAGTCTATAGGACTTCACCAACAGTAGTAGATGGCGCCTCGGCCAGTTCCACTCAAGCCTGGAGCGGCTGCAGTCCCAGATCTCCGGTCCTTGCGTGTGTAGCTCTCCTCATCATCAATCACATCATCAGGTAACAGCAGGTCATCCCTCTCGGCGGCTGGAGACTCAATTGGAGCTGGATCGATGTGGTGTAGGGATATAGCTTGCGAGTCTCGCCAACTATCTGGGGCAGAAGCCCCTCCGGTATCTGCCATGCCCGTCTATGCCAGTGTGTCTGGTCTTTCTAGCGTTTCACGTGAGTGCACCTCTAGGGGATTGTACCCAAACCCTTCAATATGCAGGTGCTAACGCCTTCTGCCCAATGCGATCGCAAAACATGTGTTGGGCAAATAATGACGACGTTGGGGATATTATCTACGGGTGATTACCTCAACAACCTCTGTGGTTGGCTAGAAACTGCAGGGGCCATCCCACTAAGTTGGACAAGCTTGTAACCCACCGACACACAGTATGCCTACCCTGTACCTGTTCATATAATATGACATGCGGATGAAGTCTTGCTTGTAAACTCTAGGATAACAGAAAAATGTTGTTGTCTTGTCATGATTTAATTATTGTATTCGGAATATAGTCAAAATAGACACTTTGGTACTTTTTGCGACTAGGGAGTTTGATTATTAGGGTAAAAGCATGTCCCGATATTCCAATACTCTCATCATTCCACTAGGTAGCTAAATGTAGTCACAGCTCAGGATGGCCTCACAGCTGTGTAAATTCATTATTTAAAACTCGACTCTAAACGAATTTTCTACCTAGTTAGTAGTATGGGAGTGGCGTGAGGTCAAGTCCCTGGACAGACAACTGGAAAGCATCGTTTCTAAATCAAAATAGTTAGTTGTATCCCAACAAAAGCTTGAGGTGAAGGCTTCATACCGAGAGTAGCTTCCGGCGACGTCGATATCAAGACGACCTCTAACACAGTCCTCAAAGTCTACATCCGACCAAATAAGGTTCTCGGCATCCTCCCATTGTGGGCCGGCCAAAACTTCACCCTGAGGATTCACGATACTGCTGCCACCACGGCAGACCCATGCCCCCTTCTCTTCGAGTGGAGGCACTGCTAGGTTGGAGCTTACCACAAAGCATCTGCCTTCGTTTCCAACGGTCCTCATCAGACTAAGCCATGCATCCCTGGCATCTGCAGTCGGTGCAAGATAGAGGTTGACATTCTGCGCGTAGATGGCCTGACGCACAAGCGGCATATAGTTCTCCCAGCAAATGGCCGCGGCAAGATTGATGCGAACACCACGGATAGTTGTGCTCACAGCACGGAGGGTTGCGGCAGAACCCTGAGACCAGATCAGTCGCTCTGAGCCAGTCTTTGACACGCATCAGAGGTTAGCCAGCTTTCTACGCAGGAGAAACAACATTGGCAAGGAGAACATACTGGCAAAACCTTACGGCGCTTTCCAATGACGCCCCGAGATGGCTCGACGTACACTACCGAGCAGTACAGGCTTCCACCAGCACGCTCGACGAGGCCAACCACGATAAAGACGTTAGTCTCTTGGCTGATACGCTCCAACTCTTCGCGAGTTCCGTCACCCCTCGTTGCACCGGCCCCAGCAGCAGCATCAGCAAGCTCGGGTAGCTCCCTCTTGACCCATTTCTCCTGTCCTCCAGCGCCCGCAACGCCAACGATGTCACCCAAGTCAACGGATGCCTTGAAGTACTCAAGAAAGGCCTGGCGCCCTTCGCCAGAGCGTGAGCCAACCACAGCCCCAAAGCCCTCGCCCCGGGGATAACCGCCAAGATAGGCCTCGGGTAAAACGAGGATGTCAATATGCTGTGCGGCTGCACGCTTCGCTATTTGTTCCAGCTGGCGAAGGGTTTGCTGCGTATCAGTGGGATGTGGTGCAGGAGAGGCAGTGCCGAGGCGGATGTAGCCAGACTTGGGAGAGTTTGTGTCGGACATGTTTCCTGAGGTAAGTAAGAACGCAATTATCATAACCTCGTTTTCTTTTGAATCAATGCTTAATAGGTACTATTAGACGTCCCAACCGGATCTGTGAGAACAGTTCATCAGGCGGCTGGGTGGATGTTCTATCTCAGGTTACGTAAGTGTTACACTTTTCATGAGGTGGGTAGATGTCGCCATAAAACTAACTACCCGTTTGCTTTCAGCCCGAACATCGGAATTGCTGCTCCATCGCAACCGTATGGAGACCTTCGTATGTGAAGGACACGGCGTTGTTACCTTATCCTGTCTGGTCAGCTAACTGATAGTGGAGCTAGAAGATCAGACACAGCCGCCATCACTAGAAAGCTGGACCTGAACTGCATTTAATCAGCTTTCTGCATAATTTAAAGAAGATCGCAGGTTTTGAATAGAAATCACAGACCGGTAAGCGCCCTCTAATGCGGACTAGATGACCACATATCGTTGTTGAGTCACATCTTTCGAACAAGATCAGATGCCAGAAACCCCATGCTCTTATTCCGAGCACCGTAAAGTGACGGCAAGAACGAGGAAGAGTGGGTGATGAGCGCGGCAGAGTGTTTAATTACGCCCTATGAAAATCGACGTTGCACACGATTTCACTTGCACATCTTGCTTATTCTCAGTTAAGAGAAGCTGCTGGCGTTATTGAGGACCTTGAGCCATCACGTGCCAGCCGTTGGTTCTAGCTCCTTCCCCTACCCGGTAGCCCAGAAGCTTGGGTGCAAGATGCTATCAGAGGTGGGAGCCACTAAAGATGAGATCCCTCTGCTTGAGTGGGGCGACTGGCTACCTGTCCACATCGTCCACCGATCTGTCCTCCTTGTCAGGATCCAGAATCTGAGCTCCTTCATACTTTGCCGAAGCTTTCAGTGTTCGTGTATTGAATCGCCGAATTGAGCCATCGATCTTGTTTTCCGAATTCTTGTGACAGCGCCCGAGATCCAACCACGGAGGGGAGTGCTCTGTGGTTAACTGCCAACAACATTCGCAATGGACTACGAGACGCTGAAGGAGCAATGGAGCGACGTCGAGGATCGTGATGGCGTGCGCCTGAGCTGGAACGTGTTTCCAAGCTCCCGCATGGTGAGCCCCGAAGTTATCTACAAGCTATAAAGTGCTCCATTGACCAGGAAACCAGGAGGCATCGCGACTCGTCGTCCCCATCGGCGCCCTTTACACCCCGCTGAAGGAGAAGCCTGACACTCCTCTGCTCCAATTCGAGCCTGTCACCTGCAAACAGCCTTGCCGCTCGGTTCTCAACCCATTTTGGTAAGCACTCGGCGTCTGGATATGGACTCTGGGCCATTCTACCCCTTGCGCGGCGTCAAACTCATTCTGACATGTGCTGTAGCCAAGTCGATGTCCGCGCAAGAGTTTGGATCTGCCCCTTCTGCTTGTCAAGGAACCAGCTTCCACCACACTATAAGGATATTACCGCAAATGCTATCCCGCCCGAATTGCACCCCAGCAACACGACCATCGAATATCGCCTATCACGTCCGGCCCCTGCACCGCCCATTTTCCTATACGTTGTCGATCTGTGCCAGGAGGAGGACAGCCTTTCTTCGCTCAAGGACTCCCTGGTTATGAGCTTGAGCCTCCTCCCTGAGAATGCGTTGGTGGGCTTGGTCACATATGGCACAATGGTATGGAATGTCGTTATGGCCCGAGGTGTTCAAAAGACTAACGTATGCGTAGGCACACGTCCATGAGATTGGCTACGAGGAGTGCGCCAAGTCTTATGTTTTCCGCGGAAGCAAGGATTATTCTGCAAAGCAGGTCCAAGATATGTTGGGACTCTCCGCCTCAGGACTTCGCCCGGGCATGCAGCCACAGCCTGGCCGCCCCATGCCTGTCGGCCCTGCCTCTAGGTTCCTGCTGCCTGTACAGCAGGCAGAGTTCCAACTCACAAAGGCGCTCGAGGCCCTGCAGAAGGACCCCTGGCCTGTCGCTAACGATAGAAGAAGTCTGCGATGCACCGGTGTGGCCCTCAGCGTTGCTGTGGGACTTCTCGAGTCAGCCTTCCAGAACGCCGGCGGGCGCATCATGCTCTTTTCTGGAGGACCAGCCACAGAGGGTCCAGGAATGGTCGTTGGCCCAGAGTTGCGTGAGCCTATTCGATCTCACCACGACATTGACCGTGACAACGTCAAGTATTTCAAGAAGGCATTAAAGGTCAGTAGCACATGTTTATCATACAGAAGGTTCGGAACAAACTACTAACGCGTGACTCTAGTTCTATGAGAATCTCGCCAAGCGAACAGCTCATAATGGCCATATCATTGATATTTTTGCCGGTTGTCTGGATCAGGTCGGTTTGCTCGAAATGAAGGGTCTATGTAATTCAACCGGCGGCCACATGATTCTAACCGATAGTTTCACATCCTCCATGTTCAAGCAGTCGTTTGTTCGCATCTTCGAGAAGGATGGCGATGATAACCTACTCATGGGCTTCAACGCTGTGCTGGAAGTCCTTACAACGAAAGAACTCAAAGTCACTGGTCTTATTGGACACGCAGTGTCGTTGAACAAGAAGTCGGTTTCCGTTGGAGAGACCGAGTGCGGAATTGGTAACACATGTTCCTGGAAAATGTGTGGCATCGACCCTCAGGCTAGTTACGGCATATACTTCGAAATTGCCAGCCAAGGCCCTCCTGCACATCAGCAGCAAGCTCCAGCAAAGGGTATGATGCAATTTTTGACTTACTATCAACACTCCTCAGGCCAATTCCACCTCCGAGTAACAACAATCGCGCGCAATTTGAGTGGGCCAGCTGGTGATCCTGCCATCGCGCAGTCGTTTGATCAGGAGGCAGCAGCAGTCCTCATGTCAAGAATTGCGGTTTTCAAAGCCGAGGTTGATGACGGGCCTGACGTACTTCGATGGGTCGATCGTATGCTGATCCGGCTCTGCTCCCGGTTCGCTGATTATCGAAAGGATGATCCATCGTCCTTCCGGCTGGAGAAGAACTTCACCTTATACCCGCAATTCATGTTCCACCTGCGGCGAAGTCAGTTCCTCCAGGTATTCAACAACTCACCTGACGAGACCGCTTTTTACCGACATGTTTTGAACCATGAGGATGCTAGCAACTCTCTTGTGATGATCCAGCCCACTCTGGATTCATATACATTTGATCAGGATGGAGGACAACCTGTGTTGTTGGATTCTGCATCTATCCAGCCCACTCATGTTCTTCTGCTAGATACGTTCTTTCACATTCTTATCTTCCACGGTGAGACAATTGCGGAGTGGAGGAAGGCTGGTTACCAGGAACAAGAGGGCTACGAGAACTTCGCGTCCCTTCTCGAACAGCCAAAGGAGGATGCTCGCGTAAGTATCACATGGGGATGCACTCAGACCATGTCGCTAACATAGTACAGGACCTCATCACCGACAGATTCCCCCTGCCTCGTTTCATCGTTTGCGACGCTGGCGGTTCACAGGCTCGTTTCCTTTTGTCCAAGCTCAATCCTTCGACAACCCATACAACAGGTGCTTATGGCGGCGTCGGTGCTACTACGGCGCAAACCATCTTCACCGACGATGTTTCGTTGCAGACTTTTATGGATCACTTGATGAAGTATGCCGTCACCTGACACCCTTTGACAACTTCCATTGGCGCTAACCTTCCAATAGACTTGCTGTGAGCGGCACCACATAATCGTAGAGACAGGCACGCTTGTTGTAGTCGATATCCATTGAACCAAATTCAATTTCTGCAAAGCCTCGAGTGATTTCGGAAGATCCCCCGAGTTCGTGCATCTTCTTTAAGCCAGCACTGCGAGAAGGGGAATATAGTGGGCGTTGAAGGTTATGAAGCAATTTCGCCCAGAAGAAAAAAATGGGAATTCAATGATAACATGTTAGCCTCAAGAGAGTACAAGTCGTTTAATGCAAAAATAGATACACTGATAATAATCAATTCCTCAGTTTGCTCTTGTGATGCAATGCTTAGAGAATCCCCTCTATTCGGATCCGTGAAGTTTCTAGAGTTTCTTTTCTTGTAGCAATAATACTGGGATCGGAATTTCTTTATTTAGGACCCGTAGACCTATCTATTAGAAGCTACCTTGAACAAGGGATGTTGGTTTCGACGGTCTAAATGTACAAAACCTACCTTACTGCAGGAACACTAGCCCCGCAAATGGGTGACATTAAAATTGAGACACTCAAATTGTGAGCTGCCTCTTCTTAAGTCTGCGATGAGTAGTATTGTCAGATTTTAAGTGATAATGATGCATACCGACTTAAAAGGTAATATGGTATACATTTTCACGTTATCTCATTTTATACTACTGAATTTATCTATTCAGTGTAGAAAGTCGTCTGTTCAATTGGGTGTCTCATTTCTTCTGTCACCCACTCGCCCCGCTCCCCGCTGAAGCATTGTGGTTCGCAACATTCACGTGATAGATTACCTAAGGGCACCGGTGCTATTAGGGCAAAATTTTGGGGCACACATTCCCAAAAGAGAATTTTGTGATCTAGTTCTATCATCAAACTCATCAAGACCTTCCACATCGTCAATCTTCTCGGCACGCAAACCTCGAGCCTCTACCGATCCAAAATATCTCAACATGCGTAAGATATCTCTGTTTGCAACGGTATCTCTCATCGCCACTAACATGCCTCATAGCTCCTAAGTTCGATCCCAACGAGGTCAAGGTTATGTGCGTTTGACCACCCATGTTGGCAAATCAGAATTCCAATGCTGACTTTGAAATAGCCACCTTCGCGCCACTGGTGGTGAAGTTGGTGCCTCTTCGGCCCTTGCTCCCAAGATTGGTCCCCTGGGTCTGTCGCCGAAGAAGGTCGGTGAAGACATTGCCAAGGCTACTGGTGACTGGGTAAGAACTATCTTGAGCGGAAGATGGATGGCGATTTTTGCAAAACTAACCCATTGCAACAATAGAAAGGCTTGCGCGTGACTGTCAAGCTCACCATCCAGAACCGTCAGGCCGCCGTCTCTGTCGTCCCTACCGCCTCTTCCCTGATCATCAAGGCCCTCAAGGAGCCCCCCCGTGACCGCAAGAAGGAGAAGAACATCAAGCACAGCAAGTCCGTCTCTCTCGAGGAGATCATCGATATTGCCCGCACCATGCGCTACAAGTCCTTCTCCAAGGACCTGGCTGGTGGTGTCAAGGAGATTCTCGGAACTGCCTACAGTGTTGGATGCCAGGTTGATGGCAAGCCCCCCAAGGTTATCATTGAGGGCATCAACAGCGGCGACATTGAGAGTAAGTTTGCTTTAATTTCGATGGTAGAAACAACAAGATGGACAGATTTGCTGACATATACTTAGTCCCTGAGGAGTAAATGGAAACGATTTACGAAGTCAAAAACTGGAATCGGTCTACAAAAAAATAGAAAACTCGGGTAGAATTACGTGGATACGTCGACCCACGAGATCAGCATCGTGGAATTCATAACCGAATTGTTGATCTAAACGCTGGCGCCGTCGCCTTTCCCCAAGTGAAGCGCCCCACAATTGCTCCTGATACCGTCGCTACCTAGCACCCTTGACTTCACTCTGAAATGTACCATACTTCTCAGTGGTACTTTTCAATTTTTGTCCAAGGAAGATTACGTATTTAGCAGGCCTCATACTCACCGCTGCATTCTGGGCTCGCCCCTAAATGGATGTCGCGGTCCATTGATTAGGCCTACATATCACTTCGTAGAGCGTGTTGTAATACGAGCGGGTGTCCCTTAACTTTCCGCGTTATTGCGTGGCGTCCGTATTTCCTGTCAGCGCTATTGAAACGGCAAAAGCAAAACTGCGACAGCGTTGGTCACAGGCGCTCAGCCCTCAGATATACCCTGTGTTTGGAGAGAGGAAAAGTCGGTCTGTTTCCAGGACGGAAATAACCAGCATGTAAATTGTTTGTGTTCAAGCGACAGTCTATCGAGAGAGACGATCCATATTCACATCACTGACAGGTGTATTGTCTGGTTTATGGACTGGTTCTGCAGCGTGTATATACCTTGTACTCGAGGAATATATATGGCTCAACGCACTGACACCCATACGATCCTTGAGGCCTGCAGTGATTCGAAGTCGGCCACAACAATGGATTTGCACATGGGCTACACTCTATCTTACCGTTAACATCGCAACCTATGGGTATCGGCCAGCGAAGGGGTTTAATTCTCTCCTGCCAATCGCATTCCGTAACGCATACATCATAGTTATGTGCTGCAGGATAATGTGAATTTTTAGAGGAGTCTAGAGCTCCCTTATTTCGGCTGGCTTCAACGACTTACTGTCTAGCTCAGGTCTGTTGGACACCGGATAGCACCTGCTAGCTTGTAACGTGTAAGACATGCATATTGGGGTGGGAGGGGCATGCATATGGCCCCCCCTCCAGTGTTCCCAATGGGAAGCTAGGATGCCTTTTGATCCGAATCCAGAAATCGCATTGTCGCATGGTCAATGACAAATACCCCAGGGCGACAGAGGCATGGTCTGATTTAATCACTGGAAAGATGCGCAGGCGGATGCTCGCTCGGCGAATGATGAGCCACCAGAGGCAGTCTGATGCTTTTGCTGGTGGACAGCTGAGAGCCGCCTCTAGTTTCACTAAGGCACCCGTAATGACGCCTTGGGGCTGGCGGGATTATGGGGCAGGGGGGAGCTGGAGCTTGCAGGACGTGGCGGCGGTGCAAGCACTTCAGCACTCCAATCAGGGCCCTGGCAGTGCACATATCACCTGAAGTGTCAGCCAGTCACCGCCCGAAGGTGCCAACACTGGCACACCACCATGGGTCCCCCCAGCGCTTGGCAGCGGCGGACGGGTAGGCCATGGCATGTACATAGCTCCTCGCTGGAGTCAGACGTGCCTGCCCGTGATAAAGTGCCATTGACCTGGAGAAACCAACGCTCCACTCCATATTTACCTCTGGCTAGCAAGCACCCCTACATAGCGTGCTCCAACCCGCCATCAAAACCTCCCCACTTCTGATCTTCCAACATCTAATCTGTTGGCGACACCCGGTTTGAAGCCTTGCTGGCTTCTCAATCTCGGTTTTGTTCTTCTTTTCGTTTCCGCTCCTCCCTTGCGATCCGACTTGGCATCAGCGGTTTCCTTTGCTCTGCGCGGGCGTTTTGGCTGGAGGGCGGGCCCGATTGTTCTGCCACGTAAACACTAGGTGCACAGGATTACCTACGAGAGACGCCTCATTCGCCGTTCGACCTGCGAGACGATACCATCAACAAAATCTGCGACCCGGCTCGTTGGCTAGGTGGTTGCCCACGACATTGCTAGCCCAAATGCGTCTCAGAGATTCATTGAGCCTTGCTTTCCACCGCGGGCGATGATACGTACTGACGACTCCTTCTTGCAATTTCGATGACTTGTTTTGCCTTTCTCTCTGCTCTATATACCTGATCTTGATCTATTTCGCCCGACCGTTCTTTTGTTTCGCCTCCGAAGGCTTGGCCATGATACCCCTATTGCAAATCCAGCCTGGCGAAGTGCCACGGCCGACCAACATTGACTCCCATGTCCAGTTTCACGATTACACATATCCTCCCGCGTCACAGATGACCATTCGGGAGAACCACTTGTCACCACACCCGTACGCGTTCCCTATCCGGACGTCCCAGTCACCGCGGCGAGCTACTCCTTCTTCCAACACTCTGTATACTCCTCGTTCTGAGTTTCACTTGCGCCGAAAAACACCAAATGGGACCATAGAGGCTGCTTATGACGGCTCTCCCGGACCACCGAATCCTGGCCCTCCGCCTCATAAGCATATGATTGTCCCCGCAGCAGCCCAGTCGATTCCACGTCTTAGAAACAGCACAGGTTTTCTGTCGCATCCGCAAACACTGGATACAGGGACATCTGCGTCGTTTGGCCAGGGTCGATATAATACAGATGCTGGGTCGTGGCATGCCAGTAACGAATCTCCGGCGCCGTATGCCCTTCACGACATTACTCCGTCTAATCTCAATGCATTTCAACCTACCGTACTCGGGGCTCCGGCTCCCTTTGCTACTTTTCCCAACGATTTCCAACCCGTTTTGCGGGCTAATGAATACAATGTCCGTGCTTTCTGTCCGCCCCCTATGCCGAGTGCAGACTTTCTGCCCTTTGGTCAGGCTGGCTGGCAACCTGGTGCTGTGCCATGGGACCCTCGGTTTCCGGGTCCGTTTGAATATCAACAAGGACCGTCGACGTTTCCTGGTCAAGGCGCTCCCATTAGTGGGATGAATAGTCATGGGACCTTGGGTCCTGCATACCCACCATATGTGCATGATCCCTCATCGGTATTGCATATGAGCGCTGAGAGTTTGACTTCGGGATCTCAAGGAGCAGTGGCCCATCCCGGCCGTTTTGATCATGCAAATGAAGGCCTTCCTCGGTTCAGAGAAAGAGCCCTTGCACAGGCTCATTCAATTTATCTTGAGTTGATAGCTGTTGCCCAGACGGCCCGAAAGTCTATTCACACCAGGACTGGAACTGGTCCCCAGGAGTCATCTAAACTCTTTGTGTTCCCTAAACCGCCAAACCCAATATCTAATTCGGCTACCATGACTGCTAGGAAAAACTGGGGGGGACATGTGCCTTCATTCCAACCGAACCCTCCTTTGATGCCTCATCATGCAGGTCAATACGCTTCTTCAACGGCCAGCGTCTATCCTGGAACTCCTAGTGATCTAGCCGTGCAGACAGGGCAGCAGGCCGCAGGAGCATATCTTGGTTATGTCAATAACCTGGATTTTCTGAACCGATCATCTCCTCATGCAAGAGCCCAATCTAGTCTTGACGTCTTGAAGAGTTTGTGCGAACAGAGTGGATGGAAATGGGTTGACGGCATGTTGATGGGAGGCTGTCTCCATTACGGGCAGGAGAACTATCATGAAGCTCTACAATGGTTCTCAAGGATTAGCGCTGTTGATTCTAGGTAACACTTGGCCGATCCTCCTTGCGCTTACTCTTTGCTGATTACTTGAACTAACTATTTAATAACAGTAATTATGTGGCCTTGACGAATGTAGCAGCCGCTCTTTATTGCCTAGGTCGCCAGGAAGAGGCCGAGAAGACCTGGCTTCGTGTTGTAAGGCTTCACCCTGCCTATTTAGAAGCCGCCGAACATCTCGTTGGACTTCTCTATCGGAAACGCAGTCTGGAGGCCATCGAAGTGATTTCCTTCGTACAAAAAGCACTGAAGACACCATCTCGAGATCCAGCCAAGACAACGGCGCCTATTGGTGGGCACTTGGTGAATGGAAAGACTGAACCTCCTGTTGGCAACCCACCATCCCCGTTGGTTCGCACAGAGCAGAATGCATTCTTCAATGCTGAGCCGTTTCAGGTTGATGATGATCCTGCTAAGAACTTCGGCTCCAGCGGATATGCACTGCCTGATAGTGAGAATGGTAGAATGCTTGCATTGGTTCATGCAAAAGGTACCATGCTCTATAGCTTGAAAGACATCGAAAGAGCCTCAAAGGCGTTTGAAGAGGCAGTCTTGATCAGTGTCGGTCGACATATTCATGGCATTAGGCATCTGGTTCAGCGCATCCAAACTGTGCTGTCGCATGCAGATAGGTTCGCAGCACAGCTTCAGCATTCGCCTCAGCTTACTGGACAGCCGCTGCTTCTCCCTCCCGAAAAGGTTCGACACACTGCTCAAATGGTTTTCCCCGGGACTGGACAATTACCAGGCCTCGTCTTTGTGCCGGACGGCCCCCCAAAACGCGCTGCTACACAGACGACGAGCAATTCCCTGCTGTCGTTGGCAAAGATATTCCAGGATGCCATGTCAAGTGGTGTTGCTGCTTCTACTCTCCCACGACACACGACGGGCGTTGGCGACATTCTGGCCCTGTACTACTTATCATTCTCTCTACAGGAGAGTCCATCCACAGCCAATAACGTTGGAATTCTACTTGCCGGAGTGCAACAAGCCGTTTCCAGCGCTTCAACTCGCTCCATGGCCCCAAGACCTCAACAGCATTCTATACCCGGGGTGCCTCCAGGAAGCGGCCTCGCCCTCGCATTGGCTTACTATCAGCATGGACTCCGACTTGATCCCAAGCATGTCCACCTCCACACAAACTTGGGGAGCCTCCTCAAGGACATTGGCCAGCTCGACCTTGCCATCCAAATGTATGAGCAGGCCGTTTCGTGTGATCCAACCTTTGACATTGCCTTGACCAACTTGGCCAATGCTGTCAAGGATCGAGGACGCATCAATGAAGCCATCACGTATTATAAACGAGCTGTCAAGTCGAATCCTGACTTCGCCGAGGCGGTATGCGGGCTTTTCACCGCCTTGAACTCTGTCTGCAACTGGAAGGGTAGAGG